ATCACTGATTGGGCCTCTCGATCGATCGGCCCCGGCTAGCAAGCAGATGGGTAGCAGCAGGCGCAGATCAGGCGATGGGTGGTCTGCGACGGTGATGAGGCTATTCAACGATGCCAAATTCCTTATACGATCGCCGGTTGATATATTTATAGTGCGGGGCGCTCATTCTATTTCGGATTCGGATTCGAATTCTGATCCGGACTCCTAGCCAAAGCCGCTCGGACGCTGACTCAGACTCGGTACGTGTGTGACCTATCAAAATAGGTAGTAACATGTTATCCATAAAATTGGATTCACTTTGTTTACTTTGATTCAAAATAGTTATCTACTCTCTTTGTTTTAGGTTATAAGATATTTTGACTTTGGTCAAAGTCAAACTACTCTAAGTTGAACTAACTCTATAGAAAAAGGTAGTAATATTTACAACACCAACATAGTTTCATTAAATCTATAATTTAATAATTTTTTATAATACTACTAGCCTTGGGTTAAAAATATTACTACTTTTTTCTACAAAATTAGTCAAGCTTAGAGTAGTTTGACTTTGACCAAAGTCAAAACGTCTTATAACCTGAAACGGAGGGAGTACAATATTATACTTAACAAAAAAAGAGTTTTAAACGAAGGTAAAGTATATTGTCAAATTGCTATTTAGCTATCAAAGAGCTCACCGTCTGGGTCTTGTGTATCAAATGCCTTATTTGTGAAGGGAGAAATAGGGCATTTTTTTCACGGAATTAGAACTAGTTTGTATGAAAACCAGTCAAATTTGTGTTCTAGAGAAGGTCTAAATTATGTTAGTTCTTGTTAGCTAATCATGTCGCATGGCACATGCCAATGTTACTTGAGTACTTAATATCTCGCATCAGGTCTGCCTTGAGCTACCAATTGTGTTCATATCTTGGTTTACTTGTGATCACCAGCGGTAGCGCTCATGAAATAGAGCTGTAATGAAATTATTTTACATCTCCATCCTCTGTTATGAAGCGCGCACACAGTCAAAAGGGATTAAAAAACAGAGTGAGACACCTAAATCAATGAAAAAAATGATTTAAATGGTACTTCAAAACAAGGTTGCAGATAGTTGCTCCAGTTATATACATGGATCTAGACATCTTCTAGTTTTGGTTTTCATTTGGTCAGCATTATGGCCTGGGATGAAAAAGACCATAGTAAAACATGTTCTCCGAACATAAACCCAATTTCCCCTTAACATGTATCCAAGTAGAAATCAGGCACATACTAATAAGGATGATGGATCTGAGAGAAATGCATAAGAAGCATAAGTGCATGGTCTTTATTTCATGAAAAAAAGTACTTGCAGAGAAATAGGACTTAAAAACTCAACAAGTTTTCTTTTATCTGGAGGGATCGTTCCTTAATTACTCTCCTAGTCGCATTTCATACTTGGCATTTAGTTGTCCTAGTGGCTGAAACAATTTCTTCTAACCTTCCTCGTCATTTCTTTCTACCGTCAATTGTCTTCCCCTTCCCCTTCTCAGAACTCTTGTTCTCCTTGCCTTTCCCCTTCTTCTCCGTGTTGGACTTCTCATAACCCTTTCCCTTATGATCCTCAGCCTTGGAGCTCTCATATGACTTCTTCTTCTCAGAAGATATCTGAGACTTCACCTCCCATTTCTTGTATTCTCTGATGGCATGTTCCTTTCACTCTCAGACTGCCCCTCTCTCCTTTTTTTTCTTAGTTGATGACCTTTCCCTATCAGATTTATCTTCTTTCAATGCCATCCTTTCTTCCCTTCTTCTTTCCTTCCTAATGATCTTCTTTTCCTCCAACTTTTGTCTCTTAAATTCTGCTCTCGAATCAAACTGGACCGGGTGTCTTTCAAGAAGAGGTGGGTGCTGTAGAGGCTGTGCTGTAGCTCAAGGATTTGATTCATCGAAGATTCAACTCTTTCTCGCTAGCCTTGCATGAGGCCAGCAACATCACCTTTCGCCTCTCCAACTCATTTACCTCAGCTTGCACTTATTTCCACGGCAAACCTTTCATATTTAGTTTGGCTTTCCACTTTGTAGTGACGACAAATTAGTGAGCACATCAATTTTATCATTTACTATTTTTTTATGATAAATTTATATAGGTTGACTAGCAAACATGCCAACGGCACACCGATTTTCTACACTATATATATATAACCGGAGCAACTAACTGCAACCTTGTTTCGAAGTACCATTTAAATCATTTTTTTATTGATTTAGGTGTCTCACCCTGTTTTTTTAATCCTCTTTTGTTAATAACTTTATTGACTGCATGTGTGCCTCACAACAGAGGATGAGATGTAAAATAATTTCATTACAGCTCTGTTTCATAAGCGCTATCATAGTCGAACGAGCAATCCAAAGATATGACCACAATTGGTAACTCAAAACAGACATAATGCGAGATATGAAGTGCTCAAGTAGCATTGACATGTGCCATGTGCCATGATTATCATGACGCTTTAAGAACTAACATAATTTAGACCTCCTTTTGATGTTTTCAAGTAAGTAATTATTATTACGGTGTAGTATTTTTGATGTTTTCGTTTTTGCCTTGTAATCACAGTAGAATTCACCCGTTGGTGTTGATATCAGCACGGTCGAATCCTCCTTCTAGCGAGGTATGGATGAACATTAGTGCTATCACATAAGTAGTAGAATTCACTCGGATGAACCAGTTGGTGTTGATATCAGCACGGTCGAAGCCTCATTCTAGCGAGGTATGGATGAACATTAATGCTTATCACATAAGTGGTTTAAAAGAGAAATTCAGAGTAGTACATGTTACTACGAAAACCGACAGTAGCAACAAATACTTACACCTGACCTAAATACCTGATGCTCAATACTTTCACTCTTTTTATTTTTGTTTATTTATTTAAACACTGACAAGGTTGATAATTTATATTATATAATTGGCAGCTAGCAGAAGAGAGCGATGACCTATATAAGTCGTATCTTCTTGCTAGAGAAGAAGATGAACAACAAACACTGTAGAAGACAATGAACACCCATTTGGCGAAGATGAAGAACAATGCGCTGGAGAAGACAATGAACACAAATGGTGGGGGTGATAAACGAGTTTCTACTTTAAACCAGAGTGTTGGGAAGATTTACTGTGACATGCTGGATAATTACTGTGACATTCTTATTTGAAATTTTAAAGTTTTCATAAAATATTTTAGAAATAAAATTATGAACCATTATTTTAGTTTTGACAAATGGACATATATGATATTAAAGAAACATTTTATGGATTTATATATAAATGATTTATTTGTTCACTATATATTCTAGACTAGAGTTATATGGGTAGTACCGAATATGCGTAGTATATTTAAAAGAGGGAAAATAAATATAAATTCATTGTTTCAGATTTGTTTTTTCTTAATAATTTTTGTTTTACACTATAATTCTAGAGTTATATGAGTAGTACCGAGTAGACGTGGTATATTTATAGGAGGCAAAGGAGTAGAATTACATGTGATTGTAAATAGAAGATAGTTTTGGAATCCTCTGGAATCCATATGTGATATTTTTATCATAACATATGATTGTTAGGTGTTTTTTCCCTAGTATAAATTTATAATTTTTCTTCAAAGTAAGAGGCGCCACGTGGATCAATCGAAAGCTAACAAAAGCGCAAGCTAATAGTACCGAGTATGATTAGTATATTTAAAGAAAGAAAATGAGTGTAAATTTGTTGTTTTAGATATGTTTTTTTGCTTAATATTTTTAGGTTTACTATATATTCTAGAGTTACCGGAGCGGTATCGAGTAGGCGTGTTATATTTATAGGAGGCAAATAAGTAGAATTCTGTGTGATTGGAAAGAGAAGATAGTTTTGGAAGCCTCTGGAATTATATTTTTCTCTAGATTTTTCCTCACATATGATTGTTAGGTGTTTTTTTTTCTCTAGTATAAACTTATGTTTTTTCTTCAAAGTAAAAGGCGCCACATGCACCAATCGAAAGCTAGCAAAAGAGCTAGCTTTTAGATTATTAGAAGATGTGGACATCGTCATAGTTTCAGTTTTCATTTCGTCAACATTATAGCCTGGGGTGAAAAAGACCACCGTAAAGCATGTTCTCCGAACAGGAGACCCAATTTTCCCTTAACATGCTTCCAAATAGTAATCAGGCACATACTAATCTATACTTTCTATATAATTATATAATTAGTACCCACTAACAATTGATAGAAGCTAAAGTTCAATATGCAAGCATGCAACATCATCACCGACTGGCAATTACTATTCTAGCCTATTTAAAATCCCATGCAAGTATACCACATCTTCACTCACTAGCGATTACTATTCTAGCCTATTTTAAATCCCATGCAAGCATAACATATTATCTACAATATTATATTATATCTACAATATTATATTATAGAGATCAACAAGTATATGTCAAATAATCTTCCTAACATTATTTTTTTAACATTTCAACTTTTATCATTTCGATAATATTTAATATATATCTATAAATCTCGCAGCAAAGTGCGGGATATCACCTAGTAATAACTTAATAAAACACAGTAAACCTCAAAACATCTAATCAAACAACTGATTCAAAACCTTCATTACCCTCTCATGCATCCAAAGAGAACAAAAACAAAGATGAATTCATCTATCACTACATGCCACCAACTCAACCACAAAGGTTCTAGAACCATCATCTTCCCTTCCCCCCAAAATAAAAAAAAAATACCTTCTTTCTGTTAGGCCCCACCTGTCGGTGAGACAGCGCGGAGACAGGAATCATCATTAGTCAGCGACTCAGCGAAAACCCAAAAACAAACCAAGACCAGACCAGAAACGCCGGTGAAGGAACAGCCCACGTCCAGCTCACACACGCACCCACAACCGACCCAACCGCCACTGCCATGTGGGCCCCACACACCCCAGGCCCCACCAACCCACCGGCTGCCGCCGGTCACCGCTCTCTCGGTTGACCGGCTGCCTAACCTTCGCCTTCTTCTCCCAAACCCCCCACGAGAAAGGGAAGAGAGAAAAAAAGGTTTAATTAAAAGTTTTTTTTTTCAGTTTTATTATTATTACTTACTTACACGCGCAGCGAAGCAGCCAGCGAACGAAAGAGGCGAAGCCTTCGCGTCGCCGCTCGCCGCCACCTCGTCTTCCGCTGCGAGATCTCGCGCGAGCGCCGCCATCGGAGGAGGAGGCGCGTCGGCAGGTGAGTGCTCGCCGATTTTGGCGGTGGCTTTGCTCTAATTGTGGGCGGATCTGGCTGGGTTGGTCGGATCTCGAGCCATTTCGGTGGGGGATATTTTTGTTTGATTTTTTTTTTTGCGGCGGTGGGGTTTTAGGGTTTGTGGCGGCGGCAGCGGCGGCCGGGGATCCGGGCGGCGATGGCGAGCAGGCTCAAGGAGGACGAGAGGAACGAGCGGATCATACGCGGGCTGCTCAAGCTGCCCGCCAACAAGAGGTGCATCAACTGCAACAATTTGGTGAGTTCCCGCTGGCTTTCTACTGTTCGCTTGCTAAATGTGGTAGGATTTCGGCGGGGTTGGCTAGGATCTAGGGGAAGTGGTTTTTGAGCTCGCTTGGCTTTATACTTCAGCGTTGCTAGTAATGGCGAGGGTTTTAGAGCTACCCGCGAATGTTTGCGGCATACTAGGAGATCTCATTGGCTGGCTGGATAGGTAGGTTTCCGATCGGATAGCGGTATTTTATTAGGCTGGTTGATACTGGATCACAATTCAGTAAATTGGGACGGAGAGTAATGCGTGGAGCTATTGCTGGATGTAATGCCATGCCCTGTAATCACACAGCATATTCTTTTTCATGTAATTAATTATGTAGACGACAAATGTTGCTACTTTCTGCCAGATATACATCACGCGTTACGACTTAGGACTAGAACAATGGCCAAGAGGTACCTAAGATACAAGTATCAAGAAAGTAATGGCGCTTATGAGCTGCTAAAGTATTCTTATCTTTGCGGAAAAACGGATTATGAGCGTCTCAAAGTTATCATGTTCATATCTTTGCAGTCAAAGTCAATGGTGAATGTCACACTTGCTTACATTGTCTGTGGTGTGACAAAACAAAGCAGCCCTTCAAAAAGCAGCACAAGCAGAAAATAAAATAAAAAGAACACCTCTTTATAATTGAATTACAACATGTGGAATTTTAATAAATCCCTAGTCGAAAAACAGCTTTGACATATACTCTTTGCTATTATAGTTGATGAAGAATTGAAGATCATAAGCAAAAAAAATTAGAAACCACTATGGTCGTCTTGGACCAAAACGTGTATTTTGTGACATTCTGGCACTTGCAAGGCAGTACATGCTACTCCCTCCTTCCCAAATTGATCATCATGTAATGGAATTCAAAATTTCTCAAATTGATCATCATATAACCGCATGGACACGGATTTCATCATAATACAATTAATGCAGCATGGGAGAATGTGTGCATGCTAAGGTGTAATTGGCATGGTGTTTTGATCGATGCATGCATTGTGGGAGAATGCGTGCATGGTGTCTTGATTGATGTGATTTAAATTATCCTTGGTCTTGGTGCATAAACATATATGATGATCATTTTGGGAAGGAGGGAGTAATATTCTACTATATACCAAGATTGTTAACTCTCCAGATGATGTCTAAAAATTCACGTGTTGTTTCAACCACCTGAATAGCTTAGTTGACCTTGCGTTCATGGATGTTTAATATTTTTTCCCTTCTGTTTATGCCCTAAACTCTGTCGTGCTAATACATGCACATTTGCACGCTGCACTTTAGGCTCTATGCATTTCTTTAAGCTTGATTTTTTCCTTTTCTTTTTCTGCTAGCATAGTATCTGCTATTTAAGGCAAATAGCATTCTTGACTTGACTGATCTGCTAGTTGTTTTGGGCATTAATAATTTACCACAGCTATCAATAAGGAAACTATATTATCATGGCCCATTTGGATGTCTATTGTTCTGGCAGTTGACTTCACCTTTTTTACTCTTTTAGAGTATGCCAATTAGTGATTGCTTCTATTATTATGCAAAATAAATGATTTTTTTTCTTAAACTGCTATTGCAACAGTGGGGTCCTATATAATTAGATGCCATCAGTTGTTGCAAATGTTTTCTACTGTTGGAAAAGCATGAATCATCTGCAGTCCACATGACATTTTCACTACATAAGCCTTTTTTGGTAGTTCGTTTATTACTCGATCTACAGCGCAATGAGGTTATTTGGAAATCTCCAACTAGTCATCACAGCGAGCCTTGCCTAATTTTCTCTACCACAAGTAGAATAAATTACTCCCTCCATTCCAAAATATAGTAACTTTCAGCTATGAATCCGGACAAGTAAATGTCTAGATTCATAGCTAAAAGTTGCTATATTTTGGGACGGAGGGAGTATTATGCTTTCTAATTCTATGGTGCACCCAAAATAATGTCAAAATCTATCATTTGGAACTTGAAGAGTTTTGCAATATGTGTACTGGAGGGAATCGGCAGTAGAAGCAGCTAGGTTTGCCTAATAATGTCATGTCAAGATTATGGAGGATTGCACTCCACTCTTGCAATTAGGTGGACTCTAAGATAGTTCAAGCTTATATTTATGCCCATATTTTGCTTCAGCAGAGTACTCCTTGCTTAGGTGCTCCACACATGTTTTTGTTGGGAAAGTAGACTTAATTAGTGGGTATTTGTGTAATACTGATGTGCATTACTTTGTTTCCTAATTTTTTTTGTATATTACTGAATCACATATATTGATATTAACAGGGACCACAATATGTCTGTACAAATTTCTGGACCTTCATTTGTACCAATTGCAGTGGAGCACAGTAAGATTCTTATTCAGTTCTGTTTTGTTACACTTGTAATATGTCGAACCTCTCTAGCTTCACTGTCCCTTTGGTCAAATTAGATGCATTTTAGTGAAGTCAGTGATCCTAATTTTATTGATGACAAAATTTGTTTTGCTTCTAGCCGAGAGTTCACGCATCGAGCGAAGTCAGTTTCTATGGCTAAATTTACTGCACAGGAAGTTAGTGCCCTTCAAGAAGGAGGAAATGAGGTGACTTGTCCTCTCTTTTCTTTTTCATGTTTTCTACCATTTTAGGCCTTTCTAATTTGACATGTGTTTTGCATAACCTGTAGCGTGCTAGAGAAATATTCTTCAAGGAATGGGATGCTCACCGCAATTCTTTCCCTGACAGCAGGTTACCTTTCTGTTTAGCCATACCATATTTAGATTACAACTTGTTTCCTTTATCTTGGAATTCTGACCTGTTTCTTTTGGTCTCAGTAATGCGGATAAATTGAGGAACTTTATTAAGCATGTTTATGTGGAACGGAGATACACAGGAGAAAGAAGTGCAGATCGGCCACCGAGGGGAAAGGTGATATGTTGGCTAATTATAACTATCCTTGTTTTTTTGCAGTTGCCATTGCTTGTTGGAAATTGCTATTATACTATCCTAAATTCGTTATTTCCTTATTTCTTTGTATCTTCTAGGATGATAAGGATGAGTATAGTGAAAACAGGAGATCTGATGGAAATTGGGGTGGTTCAAGAAGTCCGCCATACAATGAAAGCTATTCTGATCGTCGCAGTTATAGTGGAAGGAGCGATGACAGAAATTCCAGATATTCCTATGGAGAACGAAGTCCTGGCTATGAACATAATGATTATAAGAAAAGCCCCCGCTACTTTGAAGTTGATGATAGAAATCGTGAGGATAGATCTGGAAAAACAACTCCAGTTCAACGGTTTGAGGACCGCAGGCCTTCTGAACCACAGAGGCCAGATAATGGGTCTCCAAATTACCAGAAGGAAACCGATGGATCTAGCCCTGTTGTACGGCCAGTGAGGGATATACTGGGTGATAATGCACCTCAACTACGGGTTGGTGAGCCTCCTAAGCCAAATGTAGCGAGAACGATTGATCCTCCGAGACCAATCGATCCTCCAAGACCGATTGATCCTCCAAGACCGATTGATCCTCCAAGGCCAATTGATCCTCCAAGACCAAATGGAACCAGAACCATCGAACCTCCACCACAGATGCAGGTTATTATTTTCCTCTGATGTTTCCTTTTTTTTTTTGCAGACATTGCTTTTAGAAATATCACCATGTTCTTGTCTCCATTTCCACGTTAAGCTGATAATTTTATCAGTAGGTTCAATTCATTAGCTTACAATACATACTTCATAATTGTAGAGGACATCAACTGCCAGCAGTATTGGTTCTTCAGAGGGGACCTCCGAACAGATAAAAGTGGCAAGTACGATAAGTTTAATTGATTTCAGTGCTGATCCTGAGCCTTCTGCATCTGTGCCACCTCCACAATCTACACCTACATCACAACAGCAGCCTGCTAGTGCACAGCCAGTGCAACCTGTTAATGCACCAGCACAACAGCCTGCTGTGGAACAAGGGAAAAATGTGTCATCAGTGAGCAGTGGTGGTGGTGACTGGGCATCGTTTGATTCTTTCGGCCAGCAACAAACACCACAAACTGGCAATAGTGTAGATCCCCTTGAGTCTGCACTTGCTCAACTATCATTTTCTGAAACACCCTCTGCACCCAATTCATCAGCTTTTCCAGCTTCGGTCATGCCCACTTCAGTTCCAAATGATGGAGGGTCATCCATGATGGGGCAGTCACATTCTTCATTTTTTGGTGCACCCCCTGGAGTCTCAGGTCACCAGGTACTTCCGTTTGCAGAGGAATATCAGAAGTCGATCTGTGTACCTTCCATTTCTTTTTTTGCCTTGAAATAGGTTTTCACTTGATACTTTTCTTAGGCCTCAACAGGAATGTCTATCCATGGATCTTCAGTTCAACAAACTGGTCTAGCTGCTCCGGCAGCTGGACTTCCGTTCCAGGTCTCTGCGAATTCCCGAGCAACTAGTGGCATTCAAGAAGCAGCACCTAATACTGACAGTAGATCCATTGGCCGGAAAGAACTTCCAGCGGTATGTGATTAACTGCTTGTAGAGAATTGAACATCTAGCATTGCAGCATTTTCTAGTCCCTGCACTACTGACTTGTTTCATCTTCCCCACCCCTTTGCTTCATTGGCTTCATTTAGATATGTAATCCGTTAATTTGTATGTTCTACAGTATAGCTTGTGCAATATGCGATGCCATTTTCTAAACTTATTGTAACCATATTTTGTGAATCATAAAGCTGAAATTACCAAATTTGTGGACAGGGCATAGAACCAACTACTTACCAGATTAGTAGCACAACCGTTTTCTCTTTGACGCTTTAGAATCCATGTTGTAAGTTGCAGAGGAACTGCATTATTTTATACCTATAATATATAGGATAGCAGTATGAGGCACTTTGTTGTTGCCTAGGCTTCCAAGTCGATACCTGTTGGTGTATTACCTATAATATATAGGACAGCAATATGCTTTGAGGTTCAGGACTTATGATATGGTTATCCTCCCATGAACTAATTTCATGACATATAATCACTGCAGTCCAACTAAATTGAGTACTAGTCAATATGAGTTCTTAGTTCGGATTTCACTTACCATATGCATATGGGGTACATTTCATACCCAAGCTCCAAAATTCTTGTTGAGCATATACATGTATTGGATTATAGATGTGTCCCTAGATATTCAGGTGCCTTTAATAATTTACATAAAGTTACAAAAGTTATTTGCAGTGTCGTGCTGAAATTTTATGGAGTTAAAAAGTGTCAGATAAAAAAAGAACAGGAGTACATGATAAAAGGTATAGAGCTCAAAACTGCTAAGAGACTGACACTTACAGTTTTTCTATGGCTAGTATTTCCTTGAAATCTTGTCAAATAATGTAAGGTGTGGTGGCCCAAGGTTAAATGATGATCTTTTGATCTGTCAGAGGTGGTATTTCTGTTTAGCAAGCATTAGCTAACTGTTAATACGTTGGTAGGATATATCATTTCCTATGCGATCAGTTATGTTGGTTTAAAACTAGGTGAGATTTGTTGATTGTTTACATATTAAATTGCATTTTAATGGGGGTTACATGGTTATTAACTTTTTTTTATTGAGAGATGATAATATATGCATGTAAAACAATGCATGGTATGGTAGGGCAAGAGTTGAATAATGGTGTTAATAATTGTTGGTGCATTTGAATGTGATATCTGGGTTGACTAACCAGATACATGGAAATAAATCAGGTTATCGAGTGAAAAAGCTAAACAGGCATTCAGGTCATCATTATGCAAAAAAAGGAAAAAAAGAAAAAAAATATATAGCTATTGGTTTGAGTCTATACTTCCAGTAAGTAATAAGTAGTGATCTGAGTCGCCCATTCATGCTGGTTGTGACCAACAATGCTTCTCAGTTCATTTGTCTTTTCGTTGTACCCCTATTTCACTTGCAAGATCGTTTAAACTAACTTTGAATTGAGGACAACTGTGCGATCCTTTTCCTTTTCTGTGAAAAATGGTCATATTAGAGAAGAAAAAAAAACCTGGTGGGGCCACTAATATGCTCCATAAAATCATTGTGTCAGCATAGTTGACCCTTAGATCATTTTTTTGCAGGATATCTTTACTTCGTTATATCCACCAGGACCTCAAACAATAGGGGGTTGGCAGAGAACACCCCAATTTGGAATGGGATATGCCATGCCATATCAGACTGCAATGGTATCTATCATTCTCATATTAGCGATTTATTGTGTATCTGATGTTGATGTTTTTCCTAACTAGATAAATTATTTACCAATTTTAGGGAATGCAAGCATATCCTCAGATGGCATTTGCTCAACCTGCATATCAACAACCTGTATATCCGCAACAGCAACATGCATACCCCCAACCTGCGAAAGCATCAAATCCTTTTGATCTTGGGAATGAGCCAGCTCCAGTTCAAGCTCACACGGTATGAATGAAGAGAATGAAATACCTCTTTTACAAAATATCTCAAACTAAGATCGTTTCACTTACTATTCTTGTAAATCTTGAGGTATCTTGTCTATTAATTATGCCTGATTGTTTCATTAACATTGTGATATTCGTGTAAATGTTGGTCCTCTTCCTCTAAAAAACTGTCAAGTGCATTAGTTTTATACTTGATGATGCACTACGATAGTGCGACCATATTGTTTGTACCCTTGAGCAATCCCGACCTGGATCAGCTGGTATGACTCACCATCTTTGTTTGCTCCATTAACATGGTTAATCTTTGTGTCCTTGAGCAGCAGCAGCCCCTACCTGGACCACTGGGAGCATCTGCTGGCATGACTCCCCCAGGTTTACTTGGTACCTCGAGTTTTGGAGTCCTTCCACAGCAACCTCAGCAGCTGTACCAGTCACCTGCACCTCCAAGTATTTCCATATCTCAGCATAATCTCTGAAATTGTGCTCTTTATTAGTATTTCTTATCTGTGTGCTAATTTGTGGTTCAACTTCAGATCATTACATGATGCAGCAAGTTCCAAACATGTCTGAGCAGTTACCTAATACCATGCTTCCAATGTGAGTTGACTGCTGTATTTAGTGTATCTCCTAAGTTGAAAGTGTAGTGAAGAACTTTTTAGCATTTTTTTAAAGATACTTTTTGCTCGTGTTGATTTTTTTTTTCTGCCATTTTTGTTGTATCTTTTGGGATGTAGGAGTAGGAAGTAGCATGCAACCTTAAAATAGAGACTAATTATTAATGAGTCCATTCGACCAGATTGGATGGTTGACATCAACCACTGAAACCCGTAGCTTTCAGAATTATCTCACCTTTGCTCTACTATAAACAATAGCATCCACCTTCTAGTGGCATGCCCATTGTTTGTGTCATTAAAATCTGGTACTGCAACCAAAGGCACCAGCCTTTGCGTTGGTTCCGTTGTGTTATATCATTCTTTCATTTTAAGTTTTAGTTCCTACAAGACGTATTTCCGTCCTAAAATACTTCCAAGGTGTTGGTTCCATTGTGCAATTTTTTGTTGTTTCGACGCTTATGTCCAAGTTGTGGCATTACAGGCAACAAGGAGGTTTGGGTTCCCTCAACATGGGCTTTGATCAACAAGCTGCTCCCAGGTACCCCCAGCCAAGCACCCCACCTTCCTATGGCTCTGTTGGGGGAAATCCTTTTGGGTAAGGTCATTATACAATCGACGTGCGATATTATCTGCTCTTTTGGAGTTCTTGTGCATCATCGGACAAAGGGTTTGCAGTGCCCAGCGGGATCAGGAACCATACTAGCCCTCGAGAGAATTTGTTAATTCATACTACTGGTTGTGTATTTATCCGCTGTAGTTGGTTGTACAACTCGTTTCCACAAGGACAATGGTCGAGCGTAACTGCGTCTGAGCATAAGCTCCACCCTTCGGAGTTCTTGATGCGCATTCCAATAGTGTTTGTATATTTGTGTTTGATGCGGTTGCAACATGTATATTTGGGAAGGATGAGGCCTCGGGGCCTCGAATGGTTTTTTGACTTTCTTTTCGGATTCTCCATGGACCATGTGCAAATCATGTATTCTTATTGGCCCAGGTTGTTTATTTACCCCCAGTGCAGTTGGCTATTAAAATTTATGTGGATGGTAATACCGGATTATGGTTGATATGTATAATTGTGTAAGGTCCATTTTTGGAATGTTGTATGATACTCAGGACAAAACGAAACTTCTAAGTTGTTTTCACCATATTGTATGTACCTGAAGATTCTTGTGCTTTCTCAAATTTTTGGGTCCTCGAGAAAATTTTTTAAAATTAAAAATTTTAGTACCTCGAGAAGATATCAAATTTTACACTATGATTTCTTATACCTTAATGATGATAAAATTACTCCACGGCAAGTGACGTAAACAAGCATGGTATGTGATCAGTGCGTGTCAGGTGCTAAAGATGGCGGCAAGCAGAATGGCAAATAAGTTCTTTTAAAGCAGAATTTCAGTCTGTTCATGCCATACTAGTGTCGAAACAATTTTTGTTGAGTACGTTCACAAGTAGACTTTCCCTTTGGTTATCAAGATGATTCATGATAGGCCCAACAAGAAGAGCTGAAATTTTACAAGGCTATGACGTTTATATCAATATAAAAGAATCACTCTTGTATCTAAACTTTTATTATTCACTAATAACGCTCGCAAGGAATAGCACAAATGAAATGATACATAGCTCGCACAAAGTGTTGTCTTGCAGATTGCATCAAAGAAACATTCTGGATCCAGCAAGCATACTTTTACCCTATGTACTCTTGTGTAAAATATGGATCCTCTTTAGCTAATCAAATTCAACCTCAACGAGAAGGGAACATCCCCCTGAGAATCCACAGTAAGGACCTATGTGTGTAAAAAGGTACAAAATTTTCTATCTCAAACAAGGACAAAGCGATGACTAATTTCTGTGGGTTTTATCGTCGGATATGCCGATCTTAAAGCACGCCCAATGATTATACAAGTGGAGGAAAACGGCCTTCACATAGTTTCAGTAGGAGTCAGCAACCTGTCAAAAAATAATTAGCTATAATAAATGAATAGTTGTTAACAACTGTCGCTAATTGTATAGATGGAAAAACACTTCACCTTTACAAGCTGAATCAGTGTATCAGGTTGCTGTCCCGCTGATTCACTATTGGTCAGGAGTCAATACTGCAAAAGGCAAGACAGTAGTTAGAAAACATCAACAACTAATGTATAGCAAGCACAAAATTTGCTCCTATGTTCAAACTGTCTAAGAAAACTGGTCAGACCAACAGATTAACTCGAATACCAAAATTAAATTATCCCGGCAGATTAAACTAAAGGATATAGCCCAGAATAAACACTTGTATCCAGAAGCAGGTAGGTTTTCTTTCTTTCTTTCTTTTCTTTTTGAGGACACCAGCAGCAAGTTTTCACTATGATCATTGGTGCCCTGGGAGGAGAAACTAGGACGAAAAAAAGGTTTTAGGACTGTACACTTGCTCAACTACAGCTTTTATGCTAATGATTCTTCATTGTTCGTACCCCACTGTTCCTCGGTATCATTTCCGTTCACAAGGACAGTACCGTCAGTCGAACCATCAGCTTCAACATCAACCTCAACAGCATCTTCTTGGCTCTCTTCTACTCCATTTTCCTCGATAGCCTGGTGGACCAGATTGATATTACTATATTACAACTTAAAGCAAGGAGAAAAGAAAATATAATGAATAGCAAAAAATGTGATTTTATTGAAATAATGATCACTTTAAAAGATTGGTGATAAATATAGGACATCGCATGCCAAAAAAAAAAGAGATCAGTTTAGTAGAAGTAATTTAACATCTTCAAATAGCTACCCACTATTTAACAATATTTTTTTACAACTCTTTCTGTAAGAGTGATACCTCGTGAGTGTCATCTCCATTTTCATCTGGCAGCACCTCCTCTTGATGTATACGCATATTTTTGAAAGCTTCCACCAGAGTCTCGTTAGGCCTCTCAGCATGGATAATGTACTCCTTAGCTGGTGCATAAATACCCCTATACAAATAGGATTTCATATTACAATAAAGAAAAAGTACAAATGAGCACTGACATTACTTCTATTTATTTCACTATATGTGCTCAACTGAAGCTAAATGTGATATTCCAAACCAGCATCCCATACATGGTAGAGGGCATCATTCTTACTTCATCAGATGCTTTCAATTAAAGAGAAGAGGAAAGCAAACCATGACGGCTTGTCCCATGTGTGGAAGAGAGAACAGGTAAAACTTTCACAAAAGAACATAGTTTTTACTTTTACAAACAGACCTTTTGGGCGCAACATTAGCTTCTACATTGAGAGCAATTTGCCAGTCTTCAAACAAGTTTGGGTACTCGTTGGGATCTGCCAATGATTCTGCCGCTTTGGGGTTTACCTATAAAGAAAATGGCACGAGAATGAAAAAAAAGGCATGGTAAGATAATAAAACACATATCTCCTACAAATTAAACAGTGTCGCGTAGCGCAAGTCTGAAAATAAGAACAATACTCTAGCACAAGATTGATTGTCTTTTGGTTAGTTTTGCATGCTAGCTCAGATAATAGACAAAATGCCCTTGAATGCCCATGATTTATCAGGTACACAAAATATAGATTGGGCATTCTGCCTGTTAGGATGGAAACATCACTAAAAATCATCAGTATTAACACCAGAAACTGGGTACCTTTTGGAGGGGGAAAAAAGAGACAGATGGTACCTTTTGGAGATCCTTTTTCCATAATGTTACAATCTCAGGGACTTTGCTCGGAAGATAAGATCTCGACATCAATGCTGCTTCTGGTATACGATTACTGTATAGAGAATATAACGTGATCACCATAAAATAAAAAATACATTTTCTGAATAAGCATTGTACTATTAAATAGGATAGTCTTGGCAAATGGCAATACCTTTCGATTAACAATTGAAGACATTCTTCCAGTTTTCCAAGCATGAAGAAACAAAGGAAAGCAACATTGTTCTTCCCTTGTTCTTTAGCCATAGATGTTAATTTTGTTAGCCCTTCAGCATCACCAAGGGATGAATACAGAAGTAATAAACCACTGAGATCCATAGCATGTAGAAGACACTCCTCTGCCATATCAAGCTGCAGAATTGACACTTGACATGTTAGAATATGAGTGCACTCTTTTAGCCAGTTTTGTATCTGGCAAGGTGCTGAAACATAACATGGCAAAGTTATTAAATTGCAAGAATTCTACTTAAAACTAAGATGGTAAGTTATTTTTTTACACACAGAACTCTGCCATCAGGCAAAACTATTGTTTTGCACGCATAATTCTACTTTTAAAAACAACTACTCCTTCCGTTTCATATAATAAGTCGTTTTGACTTTCTTTAAAAAAATCAAACTTCTTGAATGTTTAACCAAGTTTATAGAAAAAATATAGCAACACTTATAGCACCAAGTTGGTTTCATTACATCTAACATTGAATATATTTGAATAGTTTTTTTCTTTTGTGTTAAAAATATTGCTATATTTTTCTATAGATTTCGTCAAAGCTAAAGAAGTCTGACTTAGAAAAAAGTCAAAACGACTTATAAAATGAAATGGAGGTAGTACAAAAGATGGACAGAGCAAAAGCAAAGGCACAAGAACTTCTTAGGTTCTAATTCAAGCATCATAGCAACAATCAAAGCTACTTCCCATCAAAACTGCAATATTATCTCTTCACAAATGCCTTTGTTAAATTATATACTTCTTCTGTCCAACAATATAAACATTTCTAGACTGTTGAGCAAAGATTAAAGTTGAGGAGAAAGTACTTTAGTGCCCTCATTTAATGAGAAGGTTGGGGTTGAAGAGTAGTTGGGCGTAAGATGGGAAGAAATTTAAATGAGGTGATTGATTTTACATATGCATTGTAGAAATGCTTATATTCATGAACAAAATTCAAATGCTTGCTTATATTGTTGGGAGGAGGGATTTATTTCTGTGCGCTCATAATTATTAAGTTACACGGTATACTGGTACTAATAATCAAGAAACTAAAATGCCATGGCAGAACAGTCCCACTTAATTAGCACAATATATATATTGACCACTCATAGAAGATACTTCCTCCGTTTCATATTATAAGACTTTCTAGCATTGCTCAAATTAATATATATGTTAATAAATCTATATATATATATGTGTGTGTGTGTGTGTGTGTCTAGATTCATTAACATCTATATGAATGTGGGCAATGCTAGAAAGTCTTATAATATGAAACAGAGGGAGTAGTAACTAATACATCCAACAGCTGTACCTTTCCGGTTGACATAGCTAACTCTCCTAACTGCCTCCACTTGGACTCACTTTGTGCCTCAATGGCAATTGCCTGAAAAGCAAATAGTTAACAACATTTGAACAAAGACAAAAACATTCTTGGAAATGTGATAAATAAATTAATCATCTGTGCCTTTGCAACTTCAAGCCGACCAAGCTGCACGGCCAAGTCAAATCTGTAATTAGAGTCTGTTGCTATCTCAAGGGCTTCTTCCAACATGCCCCGTGATTCCAAGAAACGTGCCACACTGCAAATAAAAGGGTTATCTTCAGATTCTGAGGCCTGAGTTGCAGAGTACAATAATTAGCAGAACAGGGGGCACCTGTCATGTTGTTCTTTTGGTATAGATGGTAAAAGAGCGTTTGCACGATCGAAGTCTCCACGCATTACAAGTGTTTTATACTCAATCATAGTAAGGAGTAAAGTATACCCCACAACACTGCAGTAAGAAAACAAGTTAACCTCAGAAGTTCATTGTGGCTTCCGAATATGATACGATACCAGACAACCAAGACTCACTTAAATTGCTTGTCAATAAGGTAGACACGGCTTTGGTTAGCAAGATATCCCAGTAAATACATTTGCCGATCCAAGTGAAATAAGGTTGTGACCTGTAATACATCGAATAGTTATACTACCTCTGAAAATTAACAGTCTAACCAAATCATATGTGAATGCATTTTTGATATAATGAAAATACTTACCTCTCCTCCTACACAGTAATTAAGTCGTGACGAAGAATTGTTGTAGATAAAACAATCGCCAACCCATAGGCCAGTTCGGATGCGTTCATTGATCTCATGAAGTAGTTCAAAGGCATCTTCCACACCTTCCTCGCCAACTGAACCCCCTCCATCCAAATGAGAAGAAACTACATCCCTCTGGAAGGTATAATTGTTGTGTTATAGTTACATCAAGTAGATGTTACATCATTGAACTACAGAGCCAACAAAATGCAGAAAAACTTACATTGTACTTCAAAATGTAGAATGAGGTGTCACTTGCAATTGTCACTAAATCACCACTATCGGCCCAATAGAGATTCTACAAATAAGAAAGCAGATCCTATTTAGCATCATAATATTCCAAATGACACGCAAAAAAAAATTTAAATCCAGGAACAAAATTACTCACTTTCACATTGACATCAATTCTGCGTATCATCCTGCCCTCTGCCCAGTCATGGAAGCAAATAAAATCATTTGTACACATAGCCAGCAATACTCCACCAAATATACGCTCTGCAGAAAATGGTGGTCTTATACTCTTTCTCTCCTGAAATAGATAGGTTTTATCATCATACTATGTTTCAGAAACCACAGTAAAGGAGATTGTTGTGATAAGCTTGGCAGCTGCCTAATAAATATAAGTAACAAGTTGACCCTGACACAGTAGAAGAATAAATGATTCATAATGCCCCTTACTCAAGTCACATTTTAGTATTGATCAGTCTACCCCAACTACTATAGGCAATATTGCTCACTCCCATATCCCTATCCAGAAGGAGTTGGTCATTTACTGATTTTTTATATTCTAAAGAAAAACAAGAATAAAACT